CCGTACAGAAGTATGGGCCTCACCACGACGGTGTATATCCAGTGCACTACCTTCGGGGTTAAACCCCATTTTTGGCCGATTGCTCTCCTGAAGCTGTATAGGGCAACCGTGGCCTTCCGCACCCGCTCTTCGGTGTTTTGAATCCAGCTTAATTTTTTATCTAGGACTATCCCCAGGTATTTAGCGGATTCGCTTAATTTTAGTGTGGTCTGTGCCACCCTTGGTGTTATCAATGGGGGGATTTTGTACCTTCTTGTGAACAGTACAAGTTCTGTCTTGCTTGGGTTTACCCCTAACCCGTTATTTTTTGTCCAACTCTCGACTTCCTTCAGTTTTACCTGCATAATGTCACATAGAGTCTGTGGAAATTTCCCACTTACTGTTAGTGCAAGATCATCCGCATACGCAATAACCTTACAGCCACCCCCCTCCATGCCACACAGCAGTGAGTTTACCGCTGCGACCCATAATAGAGGGGATAGGACTCCCCCTTGCGGGGTGCCCCTCTCTACGAACCTGGTCAACGATACCCCCGCCAGCTCCGCCCGGACCACCCTTCATCTCAGCATTTAGTTTACGAGCGCAACTAAGCGCGAGTCGATGCCCAGGCCCGCCAGTGCTGCCGTTATCGCGCCCGGCATGATGTTGTTAAAGGCGCCCTCTATATCCAGGAAGGCTGCTAGCGTATATTCTTTGATGTCTAGTGATCTCTCTATATACGACACTATTTCATGTAGCGCCGTTTCTGTAGATCTACCTTTCGTATAAGCATGTTGTGTGGTAGAGAGTCTGTCACCAACCGACTCTCTGATACGGACCTCCACCAGTCTCTCCATAACCTTCAGTTGAAATGACGACAAGGTGATGGGTCTGAAATCCTTTGGGTTATTGTGAGACACCTTCCCTGCCTTCTTCCCTGCACTCTTGATTCCCTCAACTTTCTAGGGATATGGTTAAGAGCTAATACTCCCTTAATTATAGCGTGTAGCCACGCTGAGCTTAGCTGAAGTGTTTGCTGCAGCTGTATGGGGGCAATGCCATCCGGACCTGCTGATTTATAGGGCTTAAATGTCCCAATAGACCAGATGACCTTTTCCCTAGTGAGGAAATCTCCAGTGACCGAAAGATCTCCAGTTAGATGTGGCTGTACCGGCATGCTATCCGTGGCACCCGGGAAGTGTGTGCAAAGAAGCAGATCCAGTGATTCCTCCTCGGTCTCTGTCCAGGAGCCGTCAGGTCTTTGCAAGCATCCTGGGGCTTTCTGGGCAGTACCTGAGAGTATCTTTCTGAGCCTGCCTGCCTCTGAGATAGACTCCACCCCATTGCAGAAGTCTTTCCATGAGGTTCTTTTCGACCTTCTTAGGAGCTTCTTGTACTCCCGTAACGTTGTCTTGTAGGTCTCCCAATGTCCCTCACTACCAGACGCAGTAGCCTGATTGAAGGTTTTCCTGCAGTTCTTGCGTGAAATCCTGATTTCTTCATTCCACCAGGGTGGCTTTTTCCTACCCCGGTGCTGCTTTTTGGGGCATGCAATGTCTATTGCCTTACTGCAGGCCCCCGTAAAATGGTCGACAAGATATTCCAGCTCCTCTAGGTTTGCTGGAGTAGCCGGCTCTCTATCTTGTGGCAAAAGCCTATCCAGCTCTTTCCGATACCTATGCCAGTTGGCATTTCGCAAGTTTCTAGTTAGAGGAGCCTTGGGCGTTTCCCCTAATACCTCGAATTGGATATATCGGTGGTCGGAAAAGGAGTGCTCCTCAAGCACCTTCCACTTCCCGACCAGACATTCCGCATTCTCAGAGATAAGGGTAACGTCCAGAACTTCCCTTCGGGATTTTGTAATAAAAGTGGAATCATTCCCCCTATTTTCAATAACAAGCTTAGAACTAAGTATGAAATTAAAAAGTGACTCACCCCGTTCGTTATCATCGGAGCTGCCCCAGGTGTGATGGTGAGCATTCGCGTCACCTCCCAAAATTAGCGCCTCGTGCTGGCCACTAGGTCTTTAATGCAGATAGTTGGCACCTCCTTGTCGTGCGCTAGGTACATGGATGCCATCTTAATTGGTCGTCCGTTTGCACTTAGACTGACCGCTGTTGTGTCCTCGTCGCTAAATTGTGGAAGAAAGAGACACTTTAGTGTGATACTTATCAATATGCACGTCCTTGGTTTCCCCGTTGAGGCTCCACTTACCAGTCTGTAGCCCGGCGCTTTCAGCCCACAAATGTTTTGTCCCACCACCCAAGGTTCTTGGATTAGGACGATGTCGGCTGCCCCTTTAGCTGTTAGATGGAGCAGCAGTGCAGCTGAAGCTGCTTTACAGTGGTGAAGGTTAATCTGCAGTACCTTCACCATCTTGGCCGTTATCGCCCACGTCGCCTATTAGGGTGGAGTTGACCGCGTCTTCCGACATCTCGATCAACTCCTCCTCCGTATAAAGCCGAAGCATGCGTCCGACCCCCAGCGAAGACGTCGATGAGGCATAACCCCCGGTCAGGTCGTCCATCGGATCAACCTGCTCGGATTCTTCCTCCATCTCCACGTCGCTGTTGGCCTCTTCCGGCTCTACCTCCGCGATCAGGTTCTTCGCTGCGTTTACGTCGTTGCTGTAGACCTTAATTTTGGCCATGTCACAGCCGTAACGTATGACCCCGCTCTTTTGCTCCAACAACTCTATGGAGTCCTTATTTAGAAGCAGGACAACCTGCATCGTCGCTTTACCGCATTCGTTAATTTTTACCACCTTCCAATTATCGGTAGGTAGCTCCGGGTTATAGAGCCTTATGGTTTGGAGGATCCTTTCTGGCTCCGCTGGCCTGCAAGGCAACCAT